ATATATAAACTATGTTACATGCGTTATATGCGTCTCTAATTATTTTTCCCTAGCAAATTTCAATTGAACCTAAAGCCGCCACGTCAGTTTAATTGATATGCTAATTGATTGACAACTAAGCAAGGTTACTTTTTAATTAATACAAACTTGAGGTTACATCTTTTCAAATGTTTCTCAATTAATATATAGGGGATTATAGTGTTCGCATTTGACCAATCACAATAAATACTAAGAAAACAACAAAAAAAACCAACGATTAAGGGCCTGACTGGTTCTCCCGTCATCACCCACAAACGCAGTTTTTGCGGTTGATAGCTATTGTTGGCGTTTTGCAACAATCACAGAAAACGCTATAAACCGTTTCAAATCACTCTGAATTTCTAAAATTCAAAAGCTGGTTCCAGCTAGCGTTTGCGGGCGATTGCGGGATAAAAAATCTTTTTTTCAAAAGCTATATAAATATAAAAATAAAATATTAAACCAAAAATTTAAATTAAAATAATTGAAATACTGAAATATTTATATTATAAAATTTCCAAAAAAAATATTTTCTTTAACTTTTTAAAAATTTAATAATGTAGTTTTTCAATAAAATTTTTATATTTATCATGAAAAGATGATTTTAATATTTTGATAATTATATAAAATAGAAATATTGTTAATTTATTACTTAACCGCCGTTGTATTTGATGATAAACCAGTCATAAGTATCCCGCAAACGCAACAAATTTTAACCGTTGAACCAGTCGTATAAATTTCTTACTAACGCTTAAAATCACAATCTCCCGCATCCCCAAACACCCGCAACTGCAATCACTGCGTCGTAACCAGTCAGGCATGGAACATCTTCTGAGATCTGCTACGACAGAGATAAATAACTATCGTACACTACTGAAATCTCAGCCGTTGGTGGTACACGAGTGCAATCCAGCGGTCAGGAGAAACCAAAAAAAAAGAAAAACTGGGGACAACATAGACATAAACGAGATACTTAAAAACGAAAAAGACTTTCTACTTCTTCAGTCAATCATTCATCTTCAGGAGGAGGGCCCCTGTGTTCTTTGCTGTTGCTCACTTTGAGTAAGATTCTCCTCAAAAAAGGTTTGGTTTTCGTGTTAACTTTGTTATGATCTAATGAATACAATATGATGTTGTGGGTTTTGGTTGGTGAACTCTCTATCAAAAGGTTTGCTTTTTTGCATGTTAAATTTTGTTATGATCTAAAGAAGAGTCAAGAGTCAAGTCTTTGTTAAAACCCATCTAGCTTAAGATCCTCTAAGATTGTTCAGTTTTGATTAATTGAATTTTGGTACTGTCTTTTAGTAATTGAAATGATTCTCTTGGTTGTGTTCTTTGAGGTTACAATATATTGATGAGGTTATTATGCTCATGTTGGCTCCTTCTTACACGTCTCTTTGCCTCATCAAAAGCCTTTTTACCTCTTTGTGAAAGTGGGCGTAAATCTCATTCCTTTAGCACTGATTCCATATCTTATGTAATGTCTTTTCACTATCCTGATATAGAGATGTCTCATCATCTCCATGATCATCTCCCTTAGGCAGGTCATAGGTTTGTTGATAAAAGCAAAAAAAAAAAAAACACACACTAGATTTGTCCTCTTTCATCTTTTCATTTTAGTGGAGAGAAGATGGTCTAAAGCAAAAGAACTAGTTAAGAATATTTCTGAGAGATTGTGTTTTTATTTCACTGGGGGGAAAAGATAAGAATCAGAATAATTATGTTAAAAGGAATTTGATTCAATGGTTCATGTCCTCATACATAAAGTTAATATGTTCTCTATATTTAACCTTCTGAATGTGAGTCTCATACTCTCCTTGTTATTCATTCATCAAACTTTCCCTCATTGCAAAGCTACTTTTTACCTTCTTAACTTAGGCTGCTCTTTTTTCAATGACTCTGGCTAATGATTTTGGATATTCAACTGCTATGTCTTCATCTTTTCCAGCTCTACACACTACTATAGAAGACAGATACCACAAGTTTCCCAACTCTTTCTGGGGTTCATCAGGGCAGGAACTGATGAACAACCATGTGCCCTATCAGGTGGTCAACTCTGGTGGTGGATATTTGTCTGGTTTCTGCAACGTTTCAGCCGTCTCAGCTCATGGAAGGACTTCCCAAAGCCACCCACCTGTTTCCACCATGCCAAGTGATAGATTGTTTATGCAAGATTGTCAACAATCCTCTTCACTGATTAATCATCACCCTCAGGGGTTCTTTGATTTTCCTGACCATGTTTCTACTCCTAATCCACAAGAAGATGGTGGTGGAGTAAAGGTGGTTTCATCCATGGAACTCCATGAGAAAAGTGATTGGCAAACTTGGGCAGATCAGCTGATATCTGTTGACAATGGTTCAGAACCTAACTGGTCTGAACTTCTTGGAGATCCACCAAGTCCACACAATCCAAAATCACAGGTTCAGTTTCATCAGCGTCCACAACAAATACTGACACCATCTTCAGATGAGCCAAGGCAAGAGATAATAGCTAACCAGAAGCAGCAGCATCAAGCTGTTTCGTTGGAAGAGCATATCAGTGGTAGAAACTCATCAGCTAGTGCAGCGACATCTAAACAACGTATGAGATGGACACCAGAGCTTCATGAGGCGTTTGTTGAAGCTGTTAATCATCTTGGTGGTAGTGAACGTGCCACGCCTAAGGCTGTTTTGAAGCTCTTGAAGAACCCTGGATTAACCATTTATCATGTTAAAAGCCATCTACAGGTTTGTTCTTAACCATATGTTAGTTTCTTTTTTTTGCTTCTCATGCTGTTTCTCTCCTAAGCTTAGCTCCTTTCTTATTTGATACTCTCACAGAAATACAGAACAGCTAGGTATAAACCAGAGACTTCAGAAGCTACAGGTACATACTTGAACTATATAATTAACATAGTCCTTATAGAAGGCTAAAGTCTCAGAGGCTAACATGTTACAAAAGAGTGTGTGTATCTTTTGTATAATTGTGTTTTCTTTCTTTATTTCTTTTACAGGAGAATCTCAAGAGAAGAAGATCACATCCATTGAAGATATAAAATCTCTTGACATGAAAACGTAAGTTTCAGTTTTCTTATTATGAATGTTTACAGGGTTAACTTACTTTTATGTTTAATTTTTGACACTTTTTTCTTTACCAGGAGCGTTGAGATCACACAAGCTCTAAGGTTACAGATGGAAGTTCAAAAACGTCTCCATGAGCAGCTAGAGGTAATGATAATCTCACCTGCAAAACTATCCTTCTTAAGTCCTATGTATCATGACTATTGTCTCATGTTGTTTAATTTAATATGCTCTCAGATCCAACGGTCCCTGCAGTTACAGATTGAAAAACAAGGCAGATACCTACAGATGATGTTTGAGAAACAACAACAGTTGCAAGAGAACAAGAGCTCTTCCTCAGAGCTATCACCAATGCAATGTACGGGCACATATGCAGAAGTAGAGTTTGGTTTTGAGGCACAAGTAGAGAACCAAACTGAATCTGCTTTAGCATCAAGGAAACGAGGCAGAGATGATTAGTAGATTAAAAAAACATGTTTTAAGGTTGATTTGTGGAAAACCAAGAGATGCAATAACTCAAGTTTTGTTATAAAGAAAATTGTTTCTTCCCTAGCTCTGTGTTTTGTTCTGTTTAGGAAGCAGTTGCTTGCAACACAAGTGAAGTGCTTAAGATGATTACATATGAGGTTTTTTTAAAAAAAATAAATGTTAAATTTAATTTAAAAAGCCATTGTTTACAATGTGCAACCTATAAAGAATTAACTTATGAACATATGAGTTTCTTGTGCATAAAAATGTTGTATTTGCAATCTAGCAGACTAGCACTACGGATTAATCTGATCTGGTAAGATGCTGTGTAGGATTATGGTTCACTTATTACTTTATTAGCAGCTCTATATTTTTTTGGTTTGGTTTATCCTATAATCCTATGTGTGTATACGATATGCTTAAGTAATTAAGCTACAACATCTTTACCCAAATGTGTAGTTTTCTGTGTTATAAAGAGATTATGGCAGGTGGATTATGGTTTAGATTAGTTCTTGAAGCTTCATCGATTATATAGAAATTAGACATACAATTGTAACAACACCCTTCGTTCGAATGATTGACTTTGTATACCAACACGGCAACAAAAAAGAAAGAAGACATGCTTATCATTACTTACCATATTTTAAAATTTTGTTTTATTATATTTTTTTTGACGTTTGGTGAAGCAATTAACTACGTACGATTCCTTCAGCGGTTGGAAAAATAGAAAATGATTTGAATATTAAGTTTGGTGTAAAACACGAAATTATAATTTATAATCCCGTGTTTTATACTAAACATTATACTTAAGTCAGAGGCATTGTATATAGTTAATTGTTCACTAAACGTAAAAAATATTATAATAAAACAATTTGTTACTAGTTAAAAATAAGACATGCTTATCATACAATTATTATATTTAAATTTGTTTATTATTAAGTTTTGCTTTCACGTTTGGTGAACCAATTAACTACAAATGATTCCTCTGGTAGTTGGAAATATAGAAAGTGATTCAATTATGAAGTTTAGTAGTATAAAATACGGGATAAGTATAGAACACGTGTTCTTAAATTCAAGTAAAACACTTATAATAAAACAAATTGTTGTTTTTTAATACCGAACTTTAAGTTCAAGTCAAGTTAAAAAAGTGATAAAACAAATTGTTTTTGAAAATTAAACTATAATCAGTGTAATGATATATTTCTAATAGTAGTATACATTTTTTAACACAGCACAACCTCGCACACATAAGACTTTCACATGTTAACTTCCATATCCTAAGAAACCGCACTTTGGGGTTAGCTTTTTTTAAAAAAAATTCCATGAAAATTTCATGATCTATATATTATCTTTATTGGTGTATATTCTTGGCTTGCAATGAGTGGATTTGTGTTATGATTCTCTGCCTCTTTTTCAGACCAGCTGGTAAACAATGCATTTGGTTCTTTCTTTCTTCATAATCCAAGTGTCGTTTTTATTCATCTTTCATATCGAAATTCACAATTTCATAATCTTTTTGTTTCTTACAAGACAAATGATTTTCTCAGTTCAAACATTGTTTTAAAAGATAATTGAGATAGATACGATCAACGGTTATGTTCTTCTCTCCTTTAATATCTCCATAATTGTTGTAACAAATCCGTTTCAAGTGTTTATTTATTTCATTTTCCCGTCTTACTCTCATTTGTTCATTTTCTGATCAAGTTACTTTCAGTTTGAGCTTATTCAGCTCATTTTATTAGGTAGATTTGGTATTTCTAGAGGTTCATAAGTTTTTTTTTTTTTTTCATTTGGTTTGATCTGTTTCATTGAGAACTATATTTGAATTTTTGATGTTTTCTCTGTTGCAGGGAGATAGTAAATGGACCACTTGATGAAGGAGGAAACAAACACATTCTGATCAAAGCATCTTGATCCATTTTTTCCACAAAATATACATTTATCTTAGAAAAGAAACAAAAAGTTAGAGAGCTTATCATGTGATTTGCGGTTGATAGTTGACAAGTGTGGCTATAAAAGAAAGTAGTTTCCTGAGAAACTTATAGGTAGAAAGAAAGTAGGATTTTCCTCCGGAAACAGCTTTCAGTTACAAAATTAAAGACAAGAGAGAAAGAACAACAAGTGGGTTTGGTTCTTGGTAAGGAAAAAAATCAATGGAAGCAAAAGTTAGTAGTAGTAGTATAAGTATGAAGTCATTAGAGAGACTGGTTTCAGATAAAGCATCAAAGCTTGGAAACTCATTTCCATGTCAAATCTGTGTGGTTGGTTTTCTCTGTGGAATCTGTCTCACTTCACTCTTCTTAGCTGCCCTCACTTCCCTTGGCACCTTTGAGCTCACTGCCTTTTCCTTCTCCTCTGTTTTTCCTCCTTGCAACTCCACTTCTCAAGTCACCGGTAAGCTTCAAGACATTTTGGTTCTGATTTGGTTACTACTTGTGTGTGTTTTCATGTAATAAATAATTATTTGTTATATGCAAATATGGGTGCACACATAGACAGGACAGAAAATGAAAATGATGATGATCAGGTGAAACTTTTAGTCTCTGCTTGGGACAACTTATTACTAAACAATGAAGACTACTTCAAGAAACAAGGGATGAACAAATCTGATCTCCCAAACGCTCCACATTTGGAGAATTGTAAGGAGAGGACACGAGTTAGGGAGCGTTTGGATACACGAATAGCCAACCAGACATTTCCATCTTGGGTATGCTTTATTCTTCCTCTTCTTGGCCATCATCAAGAAACTACTATGATGAATGAATGATCATATAAAGCTTGTTTCAGATCAATGGAGGAGATGAAGAGAACTATCCATTAACAAGGAGAGTCCAAAGAGAGTTATGGTATCATCAGCATCCTTTGGACTGTGAAGACAAGAGTCTCAAGTTCCTTGTAGCTGATTGGGAAACGCTTCCTGGTTTTGGAATAGGAGCTCAGATAGCTGGAATGACTGGTCTTCTCGCAATAGCTATAAACGAGAACCGTGTTCTTGTTGCTAATTACTATAACCGAGCTGATCATGATGGTTGCAAAGGTATGTGCTAACATGTTTAAAGATAGCAACACCTAGGCCTGCTGGTTCAGGTAATTTGGTTCAACATAAATCTTACTAAATTAACCCGAAATAAAGTTTTTTCTTTTTCTTTTTTTCTTTTTTGTCACATACCCGAAATAAAGTTCAGTATTCGGTTAGTTCGGTTTTTGAAAATCCTACCAAAGTTTTTGATTTCTGTTAAAATTTAAGTTGGGTTGGTTTGGTTATTTCAGCTTGAAATTTGGTTTGCTCAGTTAGTTTGGTTAGGGGTTTTGGTATTGTTTGGTTAAAAAATTTTTTTCAAGAAAACTGAAGTAACCAATTGTTGAACCGAAGAGAAAACAGAGCTTTTTTAGAAAACCTACCAAATTGAACAAAAACAAACCGAAAATTTTGGTTCGTTTGGGCCGGTTTGGTTCGGTTCAACATCCTAGCCCTAGCAACCGCTTCTTGATGCATCTCCTGTTTGGTTTGCAGGTGCTTCTCGAGGAAGCTGGTCATGCTATTTTCTACCGGAAACATCTAAAGAATGTAGAAAACGTGCGTTGGAAGTAATGAAAAAGAAAGAAGCGTGGGAGAGTGGGATTATTACAGTGAAACAAAACTACAGCAGCAAGGAGATTTGGTCAGGGCGCATACCAAAGCTATGGGGTCAGCCTTGGAGTTACATGAAGCCTACAACAGAAATCAACGGAACTTTGATCTCAAGTCACAGGAAAATGGATAGGAGATGGTGGAGAGCACAGGCGGTGAGATACTTGATGAGGTTTCAAACTGAATACACTTGCGGTTTGATGAACGCTGCTAGAAACTCAGCGTTTGGAAAAGAAGCTGCTGAGAATGTTCTCTCTACAGGAGACTTGAGAAAGAAGGAGGAGGTTAGGTCAGAGATTGAAGAAGAGGTGTGGTCTAATCACAAACCGTGGATGCCACGGCCAATGCTGAGTGTGCATGTGAGAATGGGAGATAAAGCTTGTGAGATGAGAGTGGCTGCTTTAGAAGAGTATATGCATTTAGCTGATAGGATCAGAGTTAGGTTTCCGGAGCTTAACAGGATTTGGCTCTCGACAGAGATGAAGGAGGTTGTGGAGAGAAGTAAAGATTATGGTCACTGGAGATTCTATTACACTGAAGTGGCGAGACAGGTTGGTAATACATCAATGGCTGAGTATGAAGGTAGTCTTGGGAGAGAGATGAGCACTAACTATCCTCTTGTTAACTTCTTGATGGCATCAGAAGCTGACTTCTTCGTTGGTGCATTGGGTTCTACTTGGTGTTTCCTCATTGATGGTATGAGGAATACCGGTGGTAAGGTCATGTCTGGTTATCTCAGTGTTAATAAAGACCGGTTCTGGTAGCTTCATAGGTTCCATTATGTACATAACTGATATACTAGCTTTAAGACTCCTCCATACCTTTTGTCTCTTCATATGTTTGTACAAAGAGTTTTCAGTGTGTAATAAAGGTTTAGAAAAATTCAGAACAGTGTTTTAAAAATCAGTAGTGTCAGAACTAAACAAAACAGATTTCTTTTTTTAAATCGGTCTGAACTTTCAAAAAATCGGTCTAGTCACCCTTATAATCAATAATCTCACCCTTATAATCAATAATCTCCTATAAAACCATAATATTGGAGGTTCTTAAGATATGATTTTTAGCCTAATATAAGAACTTTTATTAACTTTAACTAAGAAAAACTAAAAAATATCTTTTAAATATCTACTCTATTAAAATAGAGTCATTCTTTTTATCATACAAGTTGTCATTTAAATTTGTACTCTTTCTAGAATGTTACAAATAATATAGGGTGAATTTGTTGAAAATCCTATAAAAACTACATAATTAGCTAAATACACAAACCAAATAATTGTGGGGGTAAGATTTAATTGTCAATTACCAAACTAACCTCTCTCTCTCTCTCTCTCTCTCTCTCTCTCTCTCTCTCTCTCTCTCTCTCTCTCTCTCTCTCTCTCTCTCTCATTCCACCTCACCTACATATGATTCATTCTGTTTGTAGTCTCGTTATTCTGTATGTAATTAATTTTTTGTCGTCGATGATATAGAAGAAGACGACTGCACATGCATTTATTTAGTAGGAGAAGGAATAGCATGTTGTACCTGGAAAAGACCGTGGATAATTGTTTTAGTTAACAGGCTAACGAAAATCTGTATATATAAACAGAGGTTAAT